TTGGAGTATATTATTTTTTAAAATATAAGTCTTAAATGTTCATGACATGAAAATATTAAAACTTTGTTGAAGGGTAGGGAGGAAAAGTGAAACGAGAGAGAGAGGGAGAGAGAGAGAAAGAGGAAGGGAGGGAGGGAGGGAGGGAGAGAGAGAGAGAGAGAGAGAGAACAAAAAAGATCAATTTAAGTTTCAAACAGTTTATGCATCCATGAGAGAGGGAAAATAGGGTTAGGGAAAAACTGTGCTGCAACATTTTTAAAAGTTAAGGTTTGGGGATACTCTAGGAAAGAGGAAAAACTCTTCAAAAGTTGAAGAAAAATATATCTTCAAGCTGATGGCTGCTAGGATAAAGATAGGAGGAAATCACCTGTACTTGTTAGCCCATTGGGATGTACCTCAGAGTAGGGGTCCCCAACCCCCGGGCCATAAACCAGGACCGGTCTGTGCCTGTTACCGTGTTTCCCCGAAAGTTAGATTCAGCCCAATAGTAAGCCCTAACTTGATTTTTGGGGGTGGGCCTAATATAAGCCCTACTCCAAAACTAAGCCTTAAAAATCAAGCTAGGGTGGGAGAGCTGCTTGGAGAAGATGGCTATCCAGTCCTCTCTTTGAAGACCCTCAATGAACGGTGACACAACCACTTTATCAGACATCTGCTACATTGGATCTACAACTCTTACCGTCTGGATTCTACTATCTAATCTGTATCTATTTCCTTGTAACCTCTACTTCCTTCTAGCCTTCTACTCTCTAGCCTGAATCTACTTCCTTTTAATATCAACCTTGCTTTTAGCCCTGCTCTCTGAGTAAGTCTATTTCCCTCCTCTAAATGGCAATTCTTTAGATATATGAAAATCGCCTTTCTTCCTGCTTGCTGAACATATCCAGTTCAACTGACCTTCCCCTCCAAACTGGCAACCAAACCTTTGGGAAAGAATAATTTATTATTTATTTAACTATTGTGCCTTCAAAAATCAATACTGTCTCAGAAATCAATACAGGAGAATATTTGTAGCTCAGGGCGGAAATGAGGGGTCCTTGGTGCTCTCTGAGCTTGGTGGTTTTCCCGCAGACGTTTCATGATCCAAACTAGGCAACATCATCAATACTCTACTCAGGGGTAGGCAACCTTGGCTCTTTTATGACTCGTGGACTGCAACTCCCAGAATTCCTGAGCCAGCCACGCTGAGGGGAAAGAGAGAGGTTTCCAAGCTGAGCCATGCTGGCTCAGGAATTCTGGGAGTTGAAGTCCACGAGTCATAAAAGAGCCAAGGTTGCCTACCCCTGCTCTAGATGTTTAGCATTGACGATGTAACCTAGTTTGGGTCATGAAATGTCTGCAAGAAAACCAGTCAGCTCAGAGAGCACCAAGGACCCCCTCATTATCTCAGAAATCTAACACCAAACCCTCATGGAAATTGATGATATCAGGAGAGGCCTCACAAATCAAGGCACTCTAAAATATAGAGAGCATTCATCCTGGGAATTCTGGCAGAAATAATCTCAGCACTTCTGGAGGTCACAAAGAACGAAGAAGGTCAGTGTAAATCTCAGTAAAGAAACTACAAACTAAGTAAGAATTTATCAGTGCAATATTTGAGACAAAACAAAGGGTTCTAACATTGTTTGTGACTTTATTATCAAGGTCATTATCATTAGAAAAGCAGTGAAGAATCTCAGGGTTAGATTAAAAGGAAACAAGAATCTCAGCTCCCATTAAGGTTACTTTTCTTTGTGGGAAAAAAGAATTTAAAATGAGAATATTTAAGCAGATTTGTTAGTTGTTGTTGTTTTTTTTTAAAAAAAACCTCAAGTTTATGTAGACACTGGGCAGAAGTGTTTTCTGAACTAGATACTAGAAATCTAATATTTAATTATTTTAGACATTCACAATTCAGTGATACCTTATAATTTGCCATTTATATCTGAGTCTTTTGCACAGAAAACTCCATTAGTTTTTGTCCTTTGTCAGCTTATTCCTCTGCGGTTAATTTAAATAAAACACAAAAAACAAAGATTTAAACTGCATTTCACTTGATATTAGTGGGAACCCTCCAGTTTTTCCAAAGCAAAATGAGAAATGTCAGCTACTGCAGATAAACTGCTGATAACTACTACTACTTTTTTTAAAAAGCAAAATATCAGAAATGCCATTTGTCATGACAAATTATGCATTTCAGCCTGATTGTGAATACTGAAAGCATTTCCTCTCAATTTATAACATTATCCTCCTGGTGATATGTTGAATGAAAAATGACATAAAGCCAAATTAGAGTTTGTGCATGAGCGCATGAGAGGTTTTGTGTGTCTGTGTGTCTCTCTGTGTGTATGTAAAATATGCATTAATATAGAAATAAGGAAAAGTAGAAAACTGAAAGGAAAAAAACAAGAAAGCCCAAGCAGAAATCTAGAACCTCAAACAGGTTGGGGAGGACAAATATATTGGCAAAGGTTTTATCTGAAAAGGCAGCACCCTTTGAATCCAGGACAAGAAGCAACGGATGGAAATTAATCAAGGAGAGAAGCAACCTAGAACTAAGGAGAAATTTCCCTGACAGTCAGAACAATTAACCAGCGGAACGGAAATTGCCTCCAGAAGTTGTGGGTGCTCCCTCACTGGAGGTTTTTAAGAACAGACTGGACAGCCACCTGTCTGAAATGGTACAGGGCAGGGGTAGGCAATCTTGCCTCTTTTATGACTTGTGGACTTCAACTCCCAGAATTCCTGAGCCAGCATGGCTCAGCTTGGAAACCTCTCCCTTTCCCCTCAGCATGGCTGGCTCAGGAATTCTTGGAGTTGAAATCCACGAGTCATAAAAGAGCCAAGGTTGCCTACCCCTGGATAGGGTCTCCAACTTGAACAGGGGGCTAGACTAGAAGACCTCCAAGGTCCCTTCCAAACCTATTATTCTGTTATTCCTGATAGCACATTGGTTCAATAATTTAACAGTTTCTCCTGAATTTTCAGCCCGTAGGTCCAGCTTCTTCTCAGATGAAGGAAGTGTCTCCCATCCACCCAAATGCAAATCCTCATCCAACCTGTCAGGTTGCAGAGGGCCTCTCTCTCTCTGAGGCTGGGAAGAAGAAGACCCTCAGTGCAAAAAATACGGCAGCCATACTGTGCGACACACCCACATCTCACTCCATCTTGACGTCACTACAAAAATCATGTGACTGATGTGACCAGTGCAAAGTACATTCATTCCTATGACTGCATGATGACAGAGTCACTTGTCCCACAGAGTCACTCCTGCACATGTTGCTAACTTTGATGAGACCAAAACTGATTGGGAAACGTCCTCCAAAAGGGGGGTAGCCAATGAAGGAAGCCTGTGGATCATTCACACTTTGCAGCCGATGCGGCACCTTGTTGGACGGAAGTAGGATACCGCTTTGTGGTTTTCCTTCAAAGAGGTGTTTCGATCGAAGCCTCAATGGAGCAAAAGCCTTGGTTGACAATTGGGAGATTAATTCTGCAAAGAATAATCTCCTTTTCTAGGAAGCTGAGTAACTGAAACCTCTCAGGAAAAAACAAAAGAAGAAACTGGATTCCAGCCTAACTTCAAGGAAACTGCGCAATGTACCAATGATGGGGGGTGGGATTCAAAGCCCTGCTTGCACACTCCTGCCGGATGGAATTGAGCAGTTGGGCATCTTGGAAGTCTCCTCCATTGGAGGAAAGCATATGTCACATCTGTGGGCCTCCTGCGGTTTGAAGGGTAGCAACTGCATGAGCTTGCAGACTCCCCTGGGACTGTAGAAGTAATTATGGAATTCTTGAGATCTTAATCATGATAAATAATGGGAATATTGTCAAAAGTGGGACAGCACTTAAAATCCTACTTGGCTGGCTCCAGGGAAGGAAGACTAGACCATAGTCTTTGAAATTCTAGGAAATGTTATATATATGTCACTATAATATACATCTCTCTCTCTCTCTCTCTCTCACACACACACACACATACACACACTCTTACACACACCCACACCCATACCCACACACACACACACACACACATATATAGACACACACACACCTTTACATACACACACACACTTACACACACCCACACCCATACCCACACATACACACACATATATAGACACACACACACCTTTACATACACACACACATATGTATGTATGTGTGTGTGTGTGTGAATATAAAGGTACAGATAGTGTGTGTATATAAAGGTACAATTGAGCCCCAAATTTATGTTGCTAAGTGAGACATTTGTTAAGTGAGTTTGCTCTATTTTATGACTTTTCTTGCCACAGTTGTTCAGTGGAATCATTGCGTTTGTTAAGTTAGTAACCCGGTGGTTAAGTGAATCCGGCTTACCCCCATTGACTTTGCATGTCAGAAGGTCACAAAAGGGGATCACGTGATCCAGGGACATTGCGACCGTCATAAATAGGAGTCATTTGCCAAGCGTCCGAATTTTGATCATGTGACCACTTTTACCCCCCTTATGTGTATGTGTATATATCTATGTTTTCATTTTCTTTCCTCACGCTTCATTCTCTCTGCCTTTTTTATTTTTTCTTTCTCATGTTTTTCTTAGTATTAGTCTTTAATAATATATATATATTATATATATACATATATATAATAGGCAAAGCTGAATGGAAGAAGAATATAGCCCAACTGCTATGAAAAAGTAACAGGGAAGGAAAATTACAGAGAAATGAGCTGCAGGGAAATCGGATTACTTGGGTTAATTAGAATGTAGCAAAGAGACTCTTTGCTTCTCAGTGACTGGTAATTAAACTGGCTGCTTCTTAACTTCGTTATCAGCTATGAAAATATTTCAGTGCCCAAATGCAGCTGGCTTGTCACATTAAGAGTGTAGGACCAGCTGGATGAATTCTAGACTTTATTATTAACCCATATTATGATGTGTAGACTACTTAAGGGGAAATTATTCCCTCCCTGGGGCGATTTGTATTTATTGAGGAAACAACGTGATGGGTTTATTTTACAAAATCCATATTGCTCACCTTGCAGACGCGGCCCACGTAGGACAGAATGGCCCTGTCGGAGGTGCTGCTCTCTTGGGAAACTTCTCGGAAAAAGAAATAGATTTTGTCATCGTCTGGATTATACGTGTCTGGGATAGGAAAGATTCCAATAAACTTCGCTCCTAAAAGAAATAAAAAATAATAGGAAGAAGGGTAACACCATTTAATTGTATTTTCTCATGCTTTAAACCCACCGAGATGTTGGCAAAACAGCTTTAAATTGACGTATTTCTTCACATCCTCTTCCTCCTAACTGAATTTTTCTCTAGAATTCAGTACTGAACATGTGCAGATAATCCTCGGCTTACCACTATTTGAAGTTACAACAGTGAAAAAAAGTGACATATGACAGGTTCCCCACAGTTATGACCATTGCATCCCTACAGTCATGTGATCAAAATTTGGGCAACCTCACTTTAATGTCTTCCTTTAATGTTATATATTAGCAGTAGCACTAGCAAAAGCCCTTAGACCAGGGGTAGGCAACCTTGGCTCTTTTATGACTTGTGGACTTCAACTCCCAGAATTCCTCAGCCAGGGTGCCTGGCTCAGGAAGTCCACAAGTCATAAAAGAGCCAAGGTTGCCTACCCCTGCCTTAGACTTATGTACCACTTCACAGTGCTTTACAGCCTTCTCTCAGCGGTTTAGAGAGTCAGCCTGTTGACCCCCAACAATCTGGGTCTTTGTTTTATCCACCTCAGAAGGACGGAAAGCTGAGTTGACCTTGAGCCCCGTCAGGATTGAACTCCTGGCTGTGGGAATGCAGAGTCAACCTGCAAACACTGCCCTCTAACCACCGTCCCTCCACGGTTCTAAAATATTATTTTAATATTGAAAATCAGGTATGATTCTCAGCACCACCAGCCTAACAAAATGGCTGGGGACCTAGGATGCGATATAGAATGTAATTATTTGCTCTACCGCACTTCATTAGAGCTTTGCTCCCTTCTGCTTCTGCTCAGTGAAAACAAAACCTATATAAATCTAAACTTGTGGTTCTAACTGGTGCTTTTACACATATATGTCTAACATACAGTTGTATGTTCTCTGAACATAGAACTGAATGGGAGACGTTGGGATCTGCCAAGTTACCTGCAGAAAAATGTCACTAAGATCCCTCTCTCTGCAGACCTGTTCATGACCACATTCAGTCAAACCACGTTCTGAAGCAACGCGTCCCACAGCAGCAGGTTAAGCCTCTTACCGTTTAGCCAGTAGTGTTCAGACATGTCTGTCCTGATGCAGTGTTGGTCTTGCGATGTGCCTAGAGATCGGCTCAGCGCCGTGTCTTTGCCAAGGAAATCCGAAGCAGTTCCAGAGTAAAGATACCCATCTGCAAACAAATATTATTTTAAGATCACGGAGCAGAGATACCGACCTTGAAACCTGTTTCTCAAAGTGGCACATCTTGGTCCTTAATTGTCAACAGCAGAAGTGTTTTGTGCATTTCCAAAACAGCCTTCTCATTATTTCCCCACGGAGATAGGACTTTGCTTTCTTTTCAGAGAAAAAAAATCACATTGGGTGGGTTTTTGTTTTTTTTTCCCCCCTAAGCAATCAATCATTTACTGTAAACTGAGTATTTTGCTGAAGAAACTGTCTCCGTGCTGCGCACGTCATAACTTTGGCCCTAGGATGGTGCAGCCTTTTTGTAGTGTCTTATACATGGTAACCTAATATTCTTTGTTCGTGAATAATGTTCAATACAGCTCAAAAGATACATAAAACCTTTGATTCATGAACTCTGGAGAAACTGTTCCAGCGTTTGGGATTCAGAAAACGCAGGGCAGCCAACCGTCTCTGGAAAGTTCACCGCCTTCCTCTTAAAGGATTCAGAAGCAGAACAGCTCCATATTTGGAATTTTCATCTGCTACTTTCAGTCAATACGAATAAAAAAGGGATATCCAGAGGTGTATGTCTATGAGATTCTGAGTCATTCAGGTCCTGGTAACTGGACTTTGTTTCCTTGAAGACGTTTCACTTCTCTTCCAAGAAGCTTCTTCAATTCTTTGGTTCGGTTCAGTTCATTCTTCGGAACTGAAGAAGCTTCTTGGATGAGGAGCAAAACGTCCTCAAGAAAAAAACAAAGCCCAGTTGCCTTTTGAAAAAGCGGTGTGGATAAAAATAAAGTTAAGATTGTGCCCATGATCTCACAACTGTATCTCCATCCCAGTTGTGGATGATAATGATAATGATAATGATAATGATAATGATAATGATAATGATAATGATGATAATAATAATAATAATAATAATAATAATAATGATTGATGATGATAATAAATATAAATAATAATAATAATAATAATAATAATAATAATAATAATAATAATAATAATAATAATAATAATAATAATAATAATAATAATAATAATAATAATAATAATACGAGAAAGAACTGGAGAAGATAACAAAATACAAAGACCTACAAATAGAAATAGAAAGTGTGGCAAAGGCAAGCAAGGGTAGTACCAATAGTAATAGGCGCCTTGGGTGCAATCCCAAAACAACTGGAGCACCACTTGAACACCATCATCGGCATTGACAAATCGCCATTAGTCAATTGCAAAAGGCGGCCTTACTAGGAACTGCTTCCATCCTGCGACAATATCTGTAATACCATCAAACATCCACATCTGCCTATCCCAGGTCCTTGGGAAGGACTCAATAGGCAGACAAAATGCCAAATCCAGTCTGAACATCTGGCTGACTGTGCAATGATCCATAATAATAATAATAATAATAATAATAATAATAATAATAATAATAATAATAATAATAATAATAATAATAATAATAATAATACTCCATTGGTGTTGGGCAGCTAATAAATTTAAAATCAAAAACAAGCAAGGGAGAGATCTATATTTATCAATGCAGTGTGGTAAATGTTACAACATTACAAAATATTTTTTTGCTGCAGCATAATTAGTTCTGATGATAGTTTTCTCTAAACCAATTGTTGCTGAAAAATCAGAACTAAACTAAAAGATCAACTTTCATAGGATCAAAAAGGCTACAAACCATAATGCCTGAGTTTAAAGGACAAAAAGAAATGTATGAATTCGTATACGGATGATTAATCTTTCACTTTTTCATATTTTGCATACCACTTTATTTGCATGTGAGCACACGACACACGTATGTTTATGTGTTTATGAAGAAAGCTTGAAAATACATCTGACGTATTTTCAAGTCTCCGGAAATTTTTTATACCTATCCAACCTTCCAAAATAATTAGGACCATATCAAGGCACTTAACAGCTCCTACACTAGACTCAAATAGTAAGATAAAAGTATTAAGACGTACAGAGAGCCAGTATGGTCTAGGACAGGGGTCCCCAATCCCCGGAGCCACTGTGGCCTTTTTGGAATTGGGCCACATGAGTGGCTGGCTGGAGCAAGCATGCACACAGCTCAACTTGCATGAGTGGTGGGCTGGTGGGCACTCACGTGTGTCGTGCCAGCCTGCCACTTGCGCAAGTTGAGTGGTGCACATGCACACCAGCCCGCCACTCCCTCAGCCCAGTTCCCTTCTCCCCCCCCCAGCTGGGCCGCCAAGCTGCAAAGATTAGGGACTGCTGGTCTAGTGGTTAAGGCATCAGACTAGAAACCAAGAGACCATGAGTTCTGGTCCTGCCTTAGGCACAAGCTAGATCAGTGATGGCAAACCTTTTAGAGACTGAGTGCCCCAAAACCGTCCCCACCCTGCCCTGCATGCTCTGCCCCCACCCCACCCCTGCCCCATCTCCGCCCCACCGCTGCCCTGCCCACCGCTTCCACGGCCTGCTGCAGATCGCTCAGATGGCCCAGTAGTGCCATGGTAGCCACGCCCTCCGCCCACACCCCACAGCATCAACTGAATGCACTGGGGTGCAAGGGTGGCAACCAGCAACCCCCTGGAGGAGAGTCACCCCCGAGCACGGCCTACGAGGAGCAGCGCAGCCAAGGACATAGCAGCTGGGCAGCGGGGACAAGACTCTGCTCTCATGCCCTTCATGTGCAGATGCTGCTGTGGGGCGCGGACAGAGGGCGTGGCTGGCATGGTGCTGCAGGACCACCTGGGCGATCTGCTGTGGCAGGCAGTGGAGGCATTGGGTGGCCCTGTGGGTAGGCGGGGTGTGAGCAGAGCGGGGGGTGGCAGGGGGTGGGGCACTCGGCCTCTAAAAAGTTCACCATCATTGCCCTAAGGTCTCCCTCCCTCAATTCCATACCTATTGAAATCTGATACACGTACAATGATTTTAGGAGGAAAATTATCCACGTAAGCAAAATTGTCTCTGCTGATTTTTACACACGTCTGATCTTAACTTATTAAAACATTTCTTGGCTGGCATTTGTGGATAATTTCATTTTCCATAGTCATCTAATGGTAAAACAAGCCATTTTTATCCAGGATAAATTTACAAAATTAACGCTTTAATCATCCAGTCTGAGTAAATGGGTTGAGAGGAAGAGAAATTGCACTTGGAGGGAATAATCAAGAGCCTCGGTGAGAGAGAGAGAGAGGTGAATAGTTTGCAGAAGAAAAATGCACAAAAGAATGCATAGAAACGAGAGAAGGAAGGAATGTTTGCAACAACAGAAATTAAGGAGAGGTGGATTCAACAGCATGGAAGTAAACTAGAGCGGGATTTATTTTCCTTCTCTCCTGTTTTTCCCACTTATTACTCCCTTCTCCCCCCTCCTGCTTCTTGCATATTGTTGCTTACCCTAAAGAAACACTACTATGGGTGTGTACGTGTGCATTGTTGATGCTACAATATCAACCTTCTTCAAATTGATTTCCTGCAGATGTTTGGATGACAGCTTGGAGATCAACCAAAATATCTGGAGGGCATCAGATCAGGTTGGGTGTTCAGAGGCGGTTTGTGCAACTTATATTTGAAGCATCAAGAAGGAGTTCTAGTTTCCTGGACTTTCTTAACATGCTTTATCTTTTTCTATCAGTGGCTGTGGATGATGGGAAGGAAGATAGGAAGGAAGAAGAAAAGTAGAACATCAGGGTCCAGAAGAAGCTACTTCAGCAAGATAAAACAAGGAACTATTGTCCAACCTAGTGGTTTCCAGGGGATTTATAATAGTAATAATAAAATTGGAAGGGACCTTGGAGGTCTTCTAGTCCAACCCCCTGCTCAGGCAGGAAACCCTGCACCATTTCGGACAAATGGCTGTCCAGTCTCTTCTTAAAAACTTCCAGTGTTGGAGCATTCACCGCTTCTGGAGGCAGGTTGTTCCACTGGTTAATTGTTCTAATTGTTCTTATTTCAATAAATTATATCTTGCATGAATGGAATGGAAGGGTAGGGAAGGGAAGGGAAGGGAAGGGAAGGGAAGGGAAGAAGGGAAGAAGGGAAGGGTAGGGAAGGGAAGGGAAGGGAAGAAGGGAAGGGAAGAAGGGAAGGGAAGATATATACAACAATGATTTTCTTCCTATCCATGGTGCTTGAACAAGTCCAATTTTCTTTTTCTTTCTCTCTCTCTCTCTCTTTCTTTCCTTCTTTCTTTCTTTCTTTCTTTCTTTCTTTCTTTCTTTCTTTCTTTCTTTCTTTCTTTCTTTCTTTCTTTCTTTCTTTCTTTTTTTCCTTTCTTTCTTTCTTTCTTTCTTTCTTTCTTCTTGCAATAACAAAAACACATTCTAGCAAGTAAAAATCCATAAAGAAGAATGAATAGCATAATGAAAGTCTGGCCTATTGACAGACAGACTAAATGATGGATAAGTCAAAGGGCTAAAAGAAGCAACCCATCCCTGTTTTAACTTTTGATGACAAGGTCCTTTCAACACCAGCCTTCTCCTTTGTTCTCCCGCACGGTCTGTTATTTTGTGTAGACCACTTGGGAAAAGGTTGTGATTAAAAAGTAAACTTCAAATAGAGGGAAAAGCATCAGCATCAAAAAGTGCTACGTCTGACATGTGAGAGTCAGCTTTTGAAAAAGAGAATCCGGTCAAGGAAGGATTCGTATTATATGGTTTAATTTGGCATCATTCAATTATTGTTTGCCCTTTTTCAAGAGGAGTTCTCACAATAAACATCCACATGGAAAGAAATTGTGAAAGTTCTCCAGAAAAGTGAAAAGCTTTTGAAAGAGGAATTTCTTTGTGTTGTTGTTTTTTTTCCTGACACTTCTGTGGTCTGTCTCTCCACATATAAAAAACCTGAAGATTAAGGGCTTGGTTTATATTTTACCATGGCTGCAGGGAGTCTACTTTAAGCGGCAGTAGCTCTGACTGGGGTGGGAAGCTCCTCTACAGCTTTCGTGGAAAGCATGAGAGGTTCCCAATCCAGATGTTTGTGGTGATGTACGGAAAGCTTTGCAGGCCACAGTAGGAG